TTTTTTTTCCCTTTCATGCACGGGCGATATAAAACGAAACTTTATGGGACTTGCCGAGCCTAGGTCCCACTCCGAATTCTTTGGGAACGCGCGTTTTTGCCCTTCTCCCTAATTTCCCAACACTGGCAGAGCTACTACTACCGTCTTCACCCGAATAGAACGCCCGGTAATTATGGCCGTATCTGGACTGAAAAATGCATCAAATACAGCTATAATGACCGGGCGTTCTATTCGGGTGAAGACGGTAGTGGTTTAAGAAAGAATTTTGTGACGACCCTCAGCCAGAAGTTGCTTGTATTCAATGTGCTGCTATTTGACACCTCATATACGTTTCTTTTGGATTTTATTATTATTATTATTATTAAAAATAAATAAAATTAAGTTCGAAATCTATCTGTCTACTAACAGTTACACGACTGTTCGAATAATCTGCATGGTTATCACTCATTTGATTTTACTTTTTTTTTTTTTTTTAATACAAGAATTGCAGTTTATTATGTCTATAACTTTCTTAGGCTTTAATACTCTTTATACGAAAAAAAAAAAAAAACACCGTGGAAACCACGTCCAGTGTCCCTTACATCAGCTGTACTCACCCATTTGATTTTACTATGGTCGACACAGATCCTGAATCAAGAATCACATTCTGTGAGACACACTCTTACCTTCTCTGATGCCGGCAGTCGTCCATGCACCAGCCCACACTTGAGCCCACTAAATTCGTCATTCTGCAACCTCTCGTACTCCACCACTGCAGCCCGCAAATCCTGAGGGGCAAGAAAACATTTCATGAACCGGGAGATACAGACAATGACTTCCCCTAATTGCATGAAAAAAAAACAACTCAACAGCAATGAAGCTGGTGTATGGCTAATAAACAGGCTATCATCCGCATACGTGCCCGAGAGTTTGTGCTCTCTCCTACCCACTACCCATCACATCTATTAGGACCAGGATTTTTATTTGGCAAGGCACATCGACAAAGAAGCATCACACGTGTGGTGATGTGTGCGGCAGCCAGAATTGGCTAAGCTGTAAGAGTCAGAGCGTATAGTCGTGAGTGTATGGTTCCATGTTTTAGCAGAAGATTCATTCTAATGTTATACATTTGGTGAGTACCACTGAGTGGTGGAGCTAGGCCCTGAGAATCACGCGGAGACACGAACAGGGTCTCGCCGAATTGGTGACCCATAACTCCTGAGCTACAGACCTGAACTCGCACCCACAGAATACATTGGTGGTCTGCTACCACCTCTCCCATATATGACGTGGCCATCCTTATTGCTGAAGCGACGGTACTCAATGCTTCCACAATGTCCAAGTGCACTGTCAGAGCCATTTGAGTGACCTGCAGGGGGCCCTGAATTGACGTAGAGGGGCCCCTTTGGTCTCTCTCTCTCTCTCTCTCTCTCTCTCTCTCTCTCTCTCTCTCTCTCTCTCTCTCTCTCTCTCTCTCTCTCTCTCTCTCAGGCACGAATAAATGTTTTTTTTTGTTTTTTTTTTTTTCTGCGCATCTGGCGCACCGCCCACAGCGAGCGCTCTGGAATTCCAGCGCACAGCGCACTGCGCACCGCCCCGTCCTGTGCTGCGCACTGGTGCACCACAACTATGCAGCAACGCCTACTAGCATTGACTGCTTCTCCCGGGTGAGTTCCCCCTTCAGTTTCTGCCTTCCCCCGTCACCCTCTCCTTATATGGGTGTTATGTGCCTGATTCAAAACGCATCCAGCATGGCATTCAAACATTCCCATATAGCGCAGTGACAAGTAGACCTGGAGAGATAAATCCACACCAAAACCAGATGACGAGAATGCACAGTGGAAGCTCACAAAACCATTTTAAATTTTTAATAGAATTGACTTTAATTCAATTCTTATTATACCCTCCCCC